TTCATTGCCATTAGATGGCCCATTAGACATCACTTTTCGGCTCATCACGCACCCTGCCAGTGGTTTAAGGACCCCAATATTCCCACGCCCTTCTCAAAACCCTCTAGCCCCACCGGCCCATTCCCAAGGATTGCCGCAAATGACAATTTTTTTTATAGGGATTGGGAAAAAGCGACACAAATCACTCAAAATGAGAAGAAATCCGCTTAAAATGCCGCGTAAATATTTGCCAAGGAAAAAGAATGTGAAAGTAAGGAATTGTCTGGTTTCTGGTGAGAAAGGCGAGGGAGTACCAGGAAGGACGAAGGATGCGTGTTGATGATGATGCTTCTGACACTTTGGTGTTGGTGTTGGTGTTGCTGTATACAAATGCAAATACCATTAAACGTGACAAGTGGCAACATTATTTGTTAGAAGAGCTCTCTTGCCAGCAGTTCTTTTCATTCTTTCTTTCTTTGGGGGAGCAGATATTAGCATACAAAGTAGCCAACATTTATAAGACTGTCAGCCAGTGGGCGGCGGTGCGGTGGTGCGTGGAAAAATGTGCGATGCTTGTCATATTTTCCCATAATAACTTATTTGTCAGAGTCTAAAGTGCTCTGACAGGGTAGCGATTCGTTGGTCAATGCTCAATGCGGCTATGATGCCAGTTTTGGTACGGGGAAAAGCGTTGAAGGACACTCTCATCCTAGCAGTGGAAAAGGTCTGAAAGTAGCATTGAGTGTTGATTTAACTGGTAGTCCTTAGAATGGTCTTTGATATCATACATCCATTTTCGATTGTAATAAGAACTTTATTTTATCAACACTGGACTCTTTTTTGTCAGAGAAACTCTTCTAAACCTAGAGAATGTTTTTATTCAATGATTTTTTAGTGATTTTCCAATACTTCCAGCAGCTAATCAACACTAGAAACACATATGAATAATACTTGTAAAGTATTCCCCTGAATTTTGCCTGAAGTCACATTTCAACTAATCGAAAGCTTTACTATCGCTTTTCCAACTGTACCCAACACTCAAAACAGTAACCAACACTAGCATTACTGAAGGAAAATTGTATTTTCCCCAAATTCCATTAAGCATGTTACAAATTTGGCTCTCAGTGAAGTTCTATAGACAGCATTCACGTCATTGTACAATTCGTTGTACACCTACAGTGTTTTTTCCAACACTAACACTCGCTAACCAACACTGGCAGCTGGCAGCTGGCAGCAGGGCAAACATCTTTTCAATTAACTTTATTGGCACTTTGGCAACGTCGAGAAATCATACAAAAGGAATAGAGGAGAACCCAAACAGAAGGAAGAAAACGGAAAAGACCCGAAAACTAGAAAATGGCTAACCACAGCAGGGAGCCCAACCCTCGAAAACAACGCCAAACCCCTCCCTTAACAACTTTACTACTCGCATGTGGCATCCACCAACCCGTGCCACACACAAAAAATTCTTACACAAACGTGCCTTGAACGATTTTTGTGGCTTTTTTGCTTTTTGCTCTAAACAACAAAAGCATTTTGTATCTGTCTGTTGTGGATACTACAATGGTGTTTTCTATGGGGGGACGGGGCGTATCTTTGGAGAACCGATGTGTGGGGGGGAGGGGGTGAAATTGTTTTGGGGGGTGTGCATGTGTCTATGTGTGTTTATTGTTTATTTACGGCTACCAGCCAAGGAAAACCCCAAAAAGGCAGCCTAACATGAGGCTTTGTAGCGGCCAAAAACTAAGAAAATGTTCCCCCAAAAAAAGAATGCAGAGAGACAGAAAGACATGCGACATGTCGGGCATAGTACTAGGAGGATTTGCCTCCATCTATTGTTACTCTTTCTTGGGGAAGAGAGTGGACGGATGCTCTTTCTGGGAGACAGTGGCGGAGAGCAGAGGCGGAGAGAGCGTGGGGCTTTGGATAGATTTCTCTGGATGGAACTTTCAGTTTTGGGAAAAGATAACATGGGAAAAGTTTGGAAAAACAAAGGGTGCCTTGGTTGTAGAGATGATCCTTTGAAATAGAGAGTAGAGAGAAGAATAAAAGAGCTATAGGACGCTGTAAATGTGAAGAGTGAAGATGGGATTATCAAAAATTGTATGCTGGATCTTATTTATGACTGGGAAGAAATCTTCTCAGTAAAAATCTATTCGAAAGGTATTCGAATGGTATTTATATGCCCTTTCCGTTCTACAGACTTATTTCGCTTGAGGTTCTCTTCCTAGAGCATTTCCACTTCGTATTACCTTGGGTTTCCCTCTACAGAAGTGTTCCCTTCGTGTTTTGTTTTCCTTGAGCCCGTTGTGCTATTGTTGTTTCGCCTTCTCTTCAGGGAAGAAGAGTCGTCGACGATTTTCCCCACTTATTGGGGAAAGTACATACGTAAATCTGTACCCCTTCTGCTTCTGCTCCTACTCCTGTTTCTCTTTTTTGGCAGACATTTCCCCTGGTTTTGAAGGTTGGTTTTGACTGACGTCTAAGTTTCGGTCTTTGGGGGCATCATCATTTGATTGCCAATACATTTTAGTCGCATTTCCAGCATCAGCAGCAACAGCGACGGGGGATAATGCGTGTAATCCGCTATTAAGTGCACATTGTCAATCGCTTGCCGCTTCCGGCTCTATCACCGTACTCCTGCCTCTCCTGCCTCTCCTGCCCCGGAAAAGCGGGAAAAGCGAGAGTCCTTTGCGTGTGTGGGTAGAATCTGCAGCGATTCTCACGCTGTTGATGATGTCCTTTCATGACGATGTCCCTGCGCAGTGAACCCATGAATAGGGTACGAAAGATGTTGTATTCGAAACACTCTGAATACTGGATGATGGCTCTTGAATCGTAAGCGTATCCCCTGCCTGACTCCCCCCTTTCAACGCTATTATGTGTTTTTATGCTACATTTAATGTTGGCTTAAGAGCTTTAAAGCTAGCATTGTTGCAGCACAGCATTGAGCTGTGTATTTGGGTTTTGGTTATGGCCATCCGATTGCCCATGGCTCATTGGCTGGTGGGCGGATGTGGGTTTGGTTTGTTGTGGAGGATGCGCAACTTTTGGGGGTATCCCGAATTCGAGCTCGAATTAGGCCCCGAATTTCGATGTCAATTGTTGGTCTAAACATGAAGCCATGGAGGTAGAGGTTAGGTAGAGACGGCCGCCAAGCTCGCTCGGAGCCCAGCACACATAGGCCGGTTTCGGCCCGTTGTGATAGCCATGGAGGTAATAATAGATGGAATATGCCCATAGATATGCCCTTCATCTAAGGATACCATTACTGTAAACATGTTCCTTATTACTTTGTGAATTTCATGTAAAGTTAAAGGTAAAGATATACTAAATACCAAATAAATACCAGATATACAGATATACTAGAAATCCCAACCAAAGGAACTGCGAATAATTTTGTTAATTTGCAACGCAAAATCAGAGAAAGCCTGGTATCTGGTAAGTGCTCTTTAAATAAAATATAATGGTTACACATTTTGCGTAGACAAACACTTAACACCTACACGCGACTGAATGGCAATGACTTTTAATTAAATATCATAATTGTTTACTCCTTGGTTGTTTTGGGGTATAAAAGAGTCAACCGAAGAGAGGAATCATCACAGTCTTGTCGAAATGTTTCTGAGATACACTGGATTCCTAGCCTTCGCCAGCTTTGGCTTGCTTTCCCTGTCGGGGGCTTATAAAATAACACCATATATCATGGACGGTGAGTTCATCAGGATTCATTAACCAGGAATCTAATTCTCTGGATTTTTCTTTAGGAGTGCCTGGATTCCTCAACGTAACTACTTCCCCATTCGTTAAGATTGGTGATGGTTACTACTACATAGAGACAAAGATGGAAAAGAACTGGTACGACGCTTATGAATCTTGCCGCCGAATGGGCGCGGACTTGATCTCATTCGATAGCATCGAAAAATGGAAGTTAATCAATCAGTATCTCATAAATACGAACATTCAGGCTAGATACTACACTTCGGGCACCGACCTGCATTCGGAGGGCAAGCACGTCTGGTTCGCTAATGGCCAACCTATAACCCTAGATATTTGGTATGCGAATAACCCAAATAATGATAGAAATATTGAACACTGTGATGAGCTTGGCTATAAAGAAGAGAACAGATCCGAGACACCTGGATTGAATGACGTGCGCTGTGATTTTCCTCTACGGTATATTTGTGAGGCACCCAAGCCAAAGACAGCATCCTTTATTGTGTGGTAAATTATGCGAAAAATACATTACTTTGAAGTATCTTTATACTCGAAAATAATTTAAATAATTAACGTAATAATTGGAGGCAACAAATTCTTTTTATAAGAAGTAAAAAAGAATACAAAATTGATTAAATACCGAAAAATACCAGAAAACACCACAGGTAATTGAAATCATTTTTGTGAATTTGATTTGAGTTTCAAGGAAACACCAAAACAATTCCAGAAATTAGCTAAATTATTTTGTGAGTTTTAATTTAGTTTAAAGGAAAACCACGTCACAAATCTACTAAATACCAGAAAAATATACAAACGAATACCAAAAATGGACGCTTTATTGGCGTATTTTTATAAGAATACCTTTTCTCCTCTCCAAATAACAAATCAATTCAATTACAAAAATCAGATATAAGACTTTTCCTGGAAAAACTCCCACCCCCCCCAAGGCACGGGGCGCAGAGTAGGAGCTGTGGCCCCCAGCCCACTCTGGAAAAACCTCGCATAATTTATAATCAGCTTAATGACAACTACAGCAAAAGCCCCAGCTGGCATTCATTTCCATAGCCACAAAATGAGAAGGAAGCGTTGGAGGAAAGCCCGCGGCATTTTGGTTTTCGGGTTTTCTGGTTTTCCGAGTTGAGTGTAATTTATGCCCAAAAATTTTGATGTGGCCTGAGAGGAGAGGACAAGCAATTGGAGCTAATTTCCTGCATAATTAAGTGTATTTTGAAAGTAAAACAAAGGACTTGTGGGCGCCAAAAATACGAGAGGACAGAGAGATGGGGAAAGGGGGGGTCGCTTACCATCCTTGTTCATGGCCGATTGAAAGCATTTGGCCAGACGGCAGGCGCGACACTGATTCCGGTGGGTCTTGTCCACGGGACAGCGTCCCTTGAGGTCACCAGTGGCCTTGCAGGTGTAAATCCGGTTGCGATGGATGCTGCGCTTGAAGAAGCCCGAGCAGCCTGGAAAACAGGATTATCACAGGATTACAGTCGAATTATTACGCTGTAGGACCTACCATCGCAGCTATAGATGCCATAGTGTTTGCCCGAGCTCCGATCGCCACACACTTTGCACGGTATGTCCAATAGGCGATCACCCGCTGAAAAGGATAACAAACAAAGACGAGTTTCAATGTTGAGTGGCCTCTATGTTTGAATCCCCTTAAAAGATATGCTTAAATATAGAGTATACCCAAAGAGACGGCTTCTGATAGTGGTTTTCGAAGTATTTTTCGAGTACTAGTCCCACTGGGATAGAGCTAGCAGCAGAGACAATGAGGTGGAGGCACCTTCTTTCAATACGTGATGGACATAAATTCAACTTACAATATTTTCATCTTAATTCAAGAAATTTACTCTATCAAAGATACAAGAAGTGGCATTTCCTTTCCCCTCTCTGTCTGTATTTAACTTTTATTTCTCTACTAATCTCTCTGTGCCTCAAAAGCCGGTCTGTGCCTCCCCAAAAGGCGTCTGTCCTGGCCTGTCCTGTCTGCTTCTTGGTGTCCCAAAGCAAATACCATGTGTCACGCACCAAAGATTCTGTTGCCTACTTTTGTGGGGCTGCAGCCGCGTGTGTTGTGCCGCGGATTAGCAAGTGAAAATGGCACTCAAACACACACAACAGGAGCAATGGAGGAGGGAGGAGGGAGGAGCAGGGGGCTATGTAGCCCTTTGACTGTGTGGCACGCTTCACAAATTAAGTTCAACACTCGGCACTTGTCAAAATAAAACGCTCTGCCACCCATCCTCCTCATTCCCCTGCTCCTGCTGCTGCTCTTCGGGATGTTTTGCCCATTGTTTGAGGTCCTTTGTCCTGTGACATTTGACATATTGTCGCTTGTTTGGTGGTTGGGTCTGGGTCGGGGGTTTTGGCGGCCTCGGGGTTTCACGATTTCACGATTTCACAGGATCTGTGGCCGGCGCGTGTTGCCAATTTTCACACCCTGCGCATCGGCCAATTGTCCGCAGCATGTTAACACCTCCTGTCTACGCCTGTCCTTTGGGTGGAGAGTGTCCCCGTGTCCTTTCCAGAGGGTTGCATCGGGATGTCAACCTTTTGTCGGCCTCTTGTTTTCTTTTTTAAAATATATTTTTATTGTTGATTTTACATATTTCTGTTTATTTATGCCATCATCGCATTGTGCTCTTTGCTCTCATTTTTTGTTAGTTTGTCTTATGGAATATGCTTTTCCGGTATGGAAATCTCGGCCATGTTTTCATAGGCCGAAAAGAGTTTCAAGCCGCGTCCTGCCGCGTTCTCCTGGTGTGGGCAGAACGTGAGAGTTTTGCATTTTGGGCGTGAGAGTTTTATTTGAAGAGAGTCGGTTATAAACCGTATATCATAATGGAATACAAATCTTTGGGAAAGGAAATCACAAATCAAATTTACTCCAGGGAATAGAAAGATTTTATCCATATGGATAGAAAATGTGGGATGCAGAGGAATTTGAGAAGTAAATTTTGAATAGAGAGAGAATTTTTCAGTTTTTCTTTTAAACTTCGTATACTTCTTACAATTTTGTATTGATATCAGATATTGTATTTAAATAATTCTCAATTGTAAAACTTGAAGGAAAACATTTTAAAGTCAATCTATTATAATAATGTGGACAGAAACAATCTACTTTTGCACAATTTATTTCTGAGTGATGAGTAATAGTTTACAGTATATACATATGTAGAAATAAATTGGTTCACCTCGTTCGTATACTTGAAGAACATAGTTGTTTATTCCTTAATTCTTCTACTTTCAATAAAAATATGATGGAAATGTCAAAGAAAATAAGTAAATAATACACAGTATTCGAGTAACTGTCGACAGATCGAGTGACGATGCATAGATTTTTCTGCAAAGTAAACAAAAAGTTTGAAAATATAAAATAAAAAATTAGACAAAAGATAAAAGTAAATGAAATAATATTAGCAAATATTTAACCAGTGTATTTTCACTAAAAAATGTCTAAGAACTTAAAAAATAATAAACTAAAATAGTTGTATTTACGTGTTTCCATTTACGAAACTCTTGTCGAATTTGTGTAATCTTAAAAACTGAAAAAAAGGGAAAAAGGAAATACATATGTGTGTACAAATTTAAGAAATCGAAAACACATTTCTTTTTGCTTTCGAGAACCGACGGCGCTTGAAGGAATTTTCAAGGTACAAACCGACGGAAAGATTTCCAATTTGTGGCACGAATTCTGAAGGAGAGTGTCGTTTACCTGTTCCCATTTTCCGTTGATGGAAATATTTAAACCCTAGGGTATCCAGCTTGCTTAGATTTATGTTCCACAGTGTTGCAGTCACTATTTTCGATTATTTATTATTAACAAATTCTTGTCTGATTTGTGGGTACTATTAATCTTTGATTAGAGCACTTAGAGCACCGTGCCACTTTTTCGCACACAGAATTTTCCTACAAATTCTTGACGTATGAGTTCACTTCTTCACACGAGAATTTTCGCCGTAGAATTTTCCTAACTTTTTGCTAAAATTTTTGAAATCTATTTTCTCCTATTGCCGACGCGATTCGATGTTTTTTGGGGTCCTGCTCTTCGGTCGTGCTTTGGAAACGCGGATGCGGATTGCGGATCGCCTGGTCTGACGGACCAACTGTGAATGAGGCACACGGATGAGGCAGTGGCATGTGGCAGAGCCCAGCAGCAGCGGCGGCGGCGGCGACCAGAACCGCCAATTACGAAAGTGAAGCTGCCAAAGGAGAGGTCGGTCCTTTTTTGCAGTCAATTTGACAAGGAGGGCAGGAGGCAAAGCCAAAGGCAGTGCCACCCACCCCCGCTCGTTTGCTGCCACAAAACGCGTTGCAAACGGAGAAAAACAAAGGAAAAGCGAGCGGCAAACGGAAAGCGCAGAGGAAAAACAGAACCCAAATGGAAGGGAGGCGAAAAAAAAGAAGAACCAAACGAAAGTCGAAAATTTACGAAAAGCTACAAAATGTTACATTTCATCCCTTGCGAGTGGGCGAGCAGAGAAGCCACCCACCCAACCACCCCATCGACTGGACGCAGGACACACACACACACACACACACACACATAGACACGAAGATCCTGGGAGAGAAAGAGGGGCGTGGGAGCAGGAGGAGGGAGGACTGTGTTCGGGCAACCAACCGGAAAACGCCCTTTTTTGCTGTGTCCCCTGGGCCCCTGATGCGATTACAGCAAATGAGGACCGGCTTCCTGGCCGTCCACCATTTTTGTTTTTTTCACCATCCCCACCCACCCGCACACACACAGACACGCACACACAGACGAGTCACAGGAAATATCCTGGCCCACGCACACTGTCGCATCGTATCCTGTGGCTTTCGACAATTCACCACAAAATGTCAAGAATGACGAAAAGCTAGCCATGGAACGAACCCCATCGTTGGGACGTCGTGTTTTCTGCTATCTCTCTCTCTCTCTCTCTCACTTTCTCTCTGACAGCCATTGCCTTCTCTCTCTCGCACTCTGTGCTTTTGCGCCTTCTTGCCATTCTGTGCTCGGCAAATACCATACCATAGCATATCCTCCTCCTGGAGTCAGGGTGTTCCCCCTTGGCTTTCGCTCGATTTTTATTCGTTTTTTTTTTCTCTGCTTCTGCTTCTGCCTTCTGCTGGTCCTGCCATCATCCTCCTGCGCTGCTTGTAGGCTGTCGGATTATTAGTTCTAAAGTCAGGATCTCTCTCTCTCTCTCTCTCTTTGGCTGTGCAAAAAAGAGCGCTACAGTTTAGGGTCCATTAAACCGTTCAAGTCATTTGGGTGTACGATTTGCAAAGGGGTGCGACAAAGCGATATAAGTCGATGAGTGGGTCCTTACTACTCAGTGGAATATTAATTTAATGTATAAAGGAAACGCGATTATCTACGCATATCTACATATAAGTACATATATATCTATATGTAGGAGAATATCTATTCGAAAATACTAGAAAATACCTAAAGGACATAGGAAACATCATAAAATACTAGAAAATACCAGAAAAATACCACACATGTGGAATGATACTGGATAAAAGGATAAAGAACTACCGAAAAATATTAGAATACGCGAATATACATATGCTTTTCTTTTCTTAAAAATAGGAAAATCTAATAATAAGTTTTTACAAGGTCGAAAGGGAATCATGGAAAATCTGAAGCGATTTAATGTGGGTACACCTTCAGCATTCCTCCTCCTTATAAATACATACCGGAAGTATATAGCAGATTGTTAAAAACGTAAGAAAACAGACTTCAAATTAGTGGGAATGGGAAAATGATTGGTATAAAAAGTAAATAAATTCTTTCAAACGGTCATTCCCCCTTTCTAAAAAGATAATAATTCCTATAAGTAAGTGAAAATTGTAGGTCTTTCAAGCAGCCCAAGGACCCAAAGGCTTCCGCGTAGAGCAGTCTACATGGCATTTTCCCAATGGATATGGCATGGCATATGTGTGTGTGTGTTGGGGCATGGATATATAACAATATACATATATGCACATGTGTGGGAGTATAAGCTATAAGTAGATGTAGGTGTATCCTATATCTGTTTGTGTGTGTGTGTGAGTGTTAGCGGCATTTTCGCAATGGCGTTTCCTCGACAAGCGACTGGCTGGGCGGTCTGTGGGTCGTTGAATTCGTATCTGGTGGGTTGCTGTTGCTGGTGTCGTTGGCATGTTTATAGGGGTTGATTTACTGACTCTCCATCTCTAAATTGAAATGACTTTTGCGACATTCTGAATACTGACGGGGGAGGAGGTGCACACAGACACACGCACGCACAGATACAAGAAGAGGCACTCAGATACAGATACAGAATGAAAGAGAGATCTCTGGGGACGTCTTGAAGGGTGGAGTCTTGTAATTCGGGCTTATGGCAATGGGGATTTTGCGGCTCAAACTCTTGGCCATTACACGATACCATCACAGACAAGGGGTTGGGTTGGTTGCCGTGGTTATATAATGGCCCCACCCACTCACTGCCCTCTGATCCTGATCCTCCCCGTGTAATACAGTCCTGCGGTTATATTTAACCAGTCAGAATGCAAAGTCATTTACTGGCACAGGCACAGGCACAGCGACGAAGTCGACGTCAACGGCGGGCGTTTGGTGGTAAATCACCCAGAAACCAGCTTCCCCTCCCACCTCTCTTTGGGGCCACACACACATGGCTCTGATCTCCCCCTTACTTCCCCGTTTGGCAAATTTGTGGCATCAAGAAGTCGGATTTTTTCTATGCCCCCGCCTCAACAGATCTCTCCGTCGCATTCGCTCTCGAGTGCCAGGCCACGCCTACTTTTATACAGAAAACTCACCACTTTTCGACAATTTTCACGCATGCCCTGTGCTTCGTTCGAATTTTTGGTTCGAAACACACACATTTACCGAAACAACGAGGCCATGACTTTTGAATTTCCTTGCCGTCAAGGCTGTTTGGGAAATGTTTGGGTAGCTCGGAGCTCATTCTCTGTCTAGACGTTCACCTGAAAACATCTCTGTGAAGGAAGTGTTCCGAAATTTGTTGTAGTTTCCAAATTTAACACGCTGTTTTGTCCGTTTTGCCGAGAAAATCTGAAATATTTTTAAGTGAGTAATAATATTTTGGAAAAAAAATTAAATGTTGAAAAGGTTTGATTTTCGTAGAATAGAACCAACAAATAGCCATGGAAGGATACTACAGTGGCAACGGTTATGGCAACGTCTATTCTCAGATGACAATGAAGGGGAACGGCTACGGTTACTGCTCCTCTGGGAATTGCAATAACGGAAGCTGCACCAACGGAAGCTGCTCTATTGGAAGCTGCACCAACGGAAGCTGCTCCAACGGAAGCTGCTCTATTGGAAGCTGCACCAACGGAAACTGCTCCAACGGAAGCTGCTCTATTGGAAGCTGCTCAAACGGAAGCTGCTCTTCCGGCAGGTGCCAGCGCATGGCGGCAGGAAGTCAATACGGTGGCTACTGTTACGGAGGCAAATGCTTTCCCGGCAGACGCGGTGGCTCGGGAAGATCAGGTAGACCAGCGTGGACCAGCTGATCCTCTCGTATCCACCACATGAGCTGCTCACCCTGCAGCCTGCAAGCGGGGCAGTTTTCAAAGGACTAATGAAATATTTAAATCACACATCTATAAATACTCCGTCGAGGCGCAAGAGCGAGGCGACTGGCAAAACAGCGGCGTTTCAAATTTGAACTACACGTTTCAACCCTGTAAACACAAAAAGAAAACCATATCCATGCATACGAATGTTTATAGACTTGATAATAATAATTTGAAAAAAGTTTATTGAAGGATTTCGTATGAACTCTCGCTTTTTTCACTAAAAACAGGGCCTGGGAACTTGAAACTTGAAAACTTTTAGCCATTTAAATCGTTTCAATGCAATGAGACTCTTCTTTGATTCCTTTTACGTATTAATATTAAATTTAGTTTTTTTAAATAAAAAATTACTTAAAATTAAGATAAATAGATCTGAAAACGACTAGGTTCGATTCGAAAAACTTCTAAAATAGTCCAGAAAAGCAGGGACTACTCACAGTTTTATAATGCAGAGTAATTGATAAAAAATAAATTAATAAAATATAAAAGTGCATAGATAAAGTGTATTCTTCCGCACGACGAGAAGCTCATACTCTTTATTAGGTTTTGTTTTCTGCCCAATTATAATACACCATCTGTAAATTATAGCCTTTCTATACCCATTAAAAAACTCTCCAAGCTTTGTTAACATTTTTCATTTTATTAATTTGTATTTTTGTCCATTTTCGCATATTTCGTAGATGTTTATTTATCTGCGTATCTCACAAACTAACAATTAATATATATATACTTTTATATAATTATCTTTTTTTGGTATTTTGTAATATTTTATTAATTAATACAGGTTCTTTTGTTGTTTCGTATTGATGCTGTTTTCATATAATATTTCTTTGTCTCTTTGTGTTCTTTGAAATGTAACATTTTGAAGTCTTTTAGATGCAATAGTTTTCAGTTTGAGATGTGATTTTTGTTTGGTAGAGTTTCGTTCTGTACGTTCTGATGATTCAAGTCTTTGGTTAGTTTTTAGCGGGTATTCGTTTCAACAGAGGAAGGATTCGTAGAAGTGGTTTGAAGGGGGAGGGGGAGGTATATTCGATATAATTGAAATACATTCACATTTACATATATACTCGTAATATTTGTAAATTATTATCAATGCAACATGTAGATCCTCTACAAAATACCGAATTTTGTCTGCTTCTGTTTTGTGTTTTTCTTTTTTTTTTCTCTTTCTACCTCCACTACTAATTTATTTAACTAATTTTTTCTCACTAATTTGTATGGTATTTTTGTTTCTAATTTGTATGGAATTATTTTTCTGTATTATTTGTCTTTCGTATTTACATTATTTTTGTTCGTTTAAAGATTTGCAGTCATAAGAAAATTCAAGAGTATGGAAATCGATACTTTTGAGATCTGAAGCTTGGAAAAGAAAAAGTGGAAATGTAGAAAATTCATGACGCGAATGTTACGATTTATTCTTATTTTATAATCTTTGTTTTCTTTCGGTTTTTTACTAAAATTAAACCTTTACTTTTGTTTAAAGTGCAATTTTGTCGTATTGCTTTTTTAGAATTATGTTTCCATTTCATACATCATTTTTATAGATTGCTTTTTATTTTTTTATTTTTTTTTAGAAGTAATTCTCTTTTCGTATTTTATTTTAAAAGAAAAATCTACTTGCTTTCCATAGAATATACGATATATTTAAGTTGGTTTTTCTTTTACGTGTCGTGAGGTTTGTGTGTTGTGTTCTAAAACGTGTTCCAAGGATTCCTCGATGATCCTTCTTCTGATTTCTCATGACTTTCGGCTAGCAAAAAGTGTGTCTAAAGTTCTGTCTCTCTTTTGTAATTGATATAACTGGCGGTGCATCGTGGTTTCTGTCTTTTGATTATTCTTGGATCTGGATATTCTTTAACTGCTGTCGGGGGAATACTACGTATAGCTCTCTGGTAACATTAATAGACTCTCTCTTTCTTGTGCGTCTCTCACAATATTTATAGAACGTTTACTTTACTAGGAAAAATTGTCCATAAGCAACATTTATTATCGTATTTTTCTTCGTATTTTTTTCGGTGTATAATAAATATTTGTAATAACTAAATTTCTGTTGTATAAATTATATTGCAACTCCGTTTTCCATGTGTGTATTTTATGTATACAAAATTCGTTTAAAATTATATTTTTTGTATAAATAAAATATAAAATCATATAACAGCCTTGGGTTGTTTGTTTTTTTTAGCTCAACTTTTCCATTTGGTTAAAAAATCATCTTAGAAACCAAATTTAAACATTAAATAATTTATAATAAATATTAAAAATTTTAAAAATAAAAAATAGAATATTTGTAAACATAAAATTAATTAAGTTTTTACAATTAGCATCAATGAATGCCCCTTCAACGTCCTTTAAATTGTTATACGCCTGAATATTATAAAGTAAATTATCTTTGTAAATCCTGTATAGGTACACTTTGCTTCGAATGGACTCTGTTTCCACAAACGAATTGGATGCACACTTCTCCACATTAATTATCCAACGAATTGGAGCGGAGCTGACTAAAGCACGCCTGGCACACCCTCACAGGCTTGATGATCCTCAAACGTGAGATCTCCGACTCGAAGCGACTGCATTTATTGCAGAAAACCTGACCACAATTACGACAATGATGTTTGCGCTCATACAGAGTGAATCTACGAAGAAAAGAAAGGTAATTTATAAATAAATGCTTATTACAACACACAAAACCTACTTCACATGACACTTGACACACTGATCGGCGCCCTCATCCTTGAGCCAATGATCGGCCACGCCTCGACCAGGCTGTTCCGTGACGCTCCATGAAAATATGCGACCTCGAGCATCACCTAAACACCAGATAAATCAGTGTCAATACATGTTAAAGGTTTATTTTTATATTTTACTTACCAACATACAAGATCTTATGATCTTTGGATACTGTCAAGGCTGTAATGCTGGCTGGCTCTGCATTATCCTTGCGATCATATGCCGTATGCATGGTTAACTTTGAGCGAAACATTAATTGACGTTGCCATTTGAAGCCTGCCATACAGAAAATGTATAAATATAAGATGCATCCTCAGGATCGTAAGATCTATAGTTACCCTTTCTTAAGGCCTGATCGCCTCTTTGTCTGTCATTGTCTATCAAAACGAAACCATCTGTCAGACTGGTGTCTGATTTGCTTGGCCTAATGGCATGGGCATCTTCTGTTGAAATAAAGCGTTAAGGTTAGCTTCAAATATGGCCTCAGTTCTATAGCTTTCGTACCTTCATTTCCTTTGAAGTCCGTGCTACAGCCGGGGGCTTCTACAGTGGCCGATTTCATTTCATGCAGCGACTTGGCTCCCGTGATGGAACTTTTTCTGCGTTCGACTGGTGATTCTTCCTGTGCTTTCTCTTTGGATTTGAGTAATTCTTCTTCAGCTCTCTCTTCAAATTTAAGGGACTCGGCTTTGCTGTGCTCTGAGGCCTCCGAAATGCTGCTCTCCGAGGCAGACTTAACAATATCTATAATTATATTAATATAAATAATTTTGCCAGTAGCTCCCAGTGTAACGAAATTCGTACCTGCTTCTTCTTCTGGCTGTGAGAGGCTTTTAATTTGCTTGAAAATGTTCATTTTCTCCGCAGAAGCAGTGTCGGGTTTGTCCTGGGAGGAGACCTCCACCCCACGTTTGAGTTTGCGGTCAATGGGGACCTGAGTGTGCTCCAGGGACCACATCTAGAACGAGGAAAAGATGCTGAAAAGTTGCATTAGCCTTTCCGTTGAGCACTCACCCTCACAACACCATCGGTAGAGCCAGTCATCACGACATTCTGTTGATCCCATTCCCTGATTTGGGAGAATGCCACACACAGAATCTGCTGCATGCGATCCGCACTGCCCACACAGGTATTGACCATGGCCAAGGCATCACCATTGATGGACCAAACATGCAACCAAGTGGCAGAGCATGTGGCAATGTCGCCCGTCAGTTCATTGATCGAAACGGCAGCCACAACACCGGCATGACCACGCAACTGCCGCACAAAAGTGAACCTGGACATGTCCCAAACGATGGCGGTGCCATCTCTAGAGCCAGAGACAATCACATTGTAGGCCGCACTGGCGGCCAGACATGTCACCGCATCCGTGTGGCCATGCAGCGAATGCTTCACACTGAGACTCTTACGATTCGCATCGAATTTCCAGATGGTCACAACAGAACTAGTGCCAGCGGTGACAATCATCTTGGCATTGGGACACGCGCAGGTGAGGATCTCCCCAGAGTTCTGTGCGGCTGCCTCCGATACAAACGATGCCCGATCCGTGTCGTAGAGTCCCACGCGCAGCGAGTGATCGGCAAAGCCCCAGGCTATATATTTCGTGTACGATGGCGGCATCATCACTTTATTTTGCTCCACAGCAAACACGGTCTTGTCGGGCTGCAGGATCTGTCCCACCGGACCCTTGAGCTCCTTGATGGGCTGCAGACTTGGCTTTAGATTATCCAGATTGTGGAAGAACAAACGATCCGTTTGAAGGACTGTGCTATTGCCCTGAATCAAGGCTGTGGGATCAATCAGGGCCGAGTGCCGAGAGCTGCCCATTTTCTTGGCAGGATGGGCCTTTTTGAACAGTTGCTTGGGGATTTGTCCAAAGTTATTAATGAATCCAATGGTGGCGTTCTTTTTCAAGGGATCATCGATGCTGGAAGAGAGGATAAAAGGGTTTCAGAAGGTGTTTTCTTGTAGGGGAAGGTCTTAAATACTTGTATATATCCACATTTCCTTCGTAAAACAGATGATGAAAGACGTTTACGGCATCTACCGCAGAGGGACCCTGCTGTTTGCAGCCAAAAATCAAGTCAATCCACTGCAAGGATACACAAAAAGTTAGTTTGAATCTTTGACTATAGGATATCTTTAGATTTTCTTACCAAATGCAAGTGTTGGCTGACATAATCACACTCCAAGGCACTCCTGTGCAGGCGTATAAACTCCCGTGGATCCTGCTTGGCCCATGGTGGCAAAATGACATGATTTAAAGTCTCTCCATTCTGCTTAGTGCCCAAGTCAAAGTTGTTAAAGTTGCTCAGGAACTCTGGCAGATAAAAGAACTCTGGAATGAGTTCTTTAACATCCGCCATATTCAGTTTGGAGGCCGACAGCCAAGCCTCCTTTATGCTGTGGAACATGCGATCCGCCAGATCGAAATGTCCGCCTTGGAGCTTCAGGAATGGTTGGGCAAACGGCTCCAAGCGCACCAGATACGAGCAAACAATCATCGCTGAGGAATAGTGGGTGCCATAATGGTAGGGCGGGGTCTCCCCATGTGGATCGTCCCACTCCTTGAAGCGCTTTTGGAACTGCTCCAAGCGCTCGTCTGCCTGAGCGCCCATGGGTCGCGAGAAATCACGGAATGTCTTGGCCGAAGTGAGATCCAGTTCCTCCGAGTCGTAGTCGGCGAGGATCCAGGGAAATACGGGATACTGCATCAGATCGTTGTAGCTCCTGCCCGCCAGGGTGTTCAAATGCATAAGATATTGGAAATTGGAGATCTCCCCGCGCACCCAGCGTTGGGTCACGGATGTTTCGCCTATCAGGCCACTGAAGATCCCTGAGGTTTGCTCCACACTGGCCGTGCGCTTCTGTCCAGCCACCGATTGTTGCGCATTGTCATTCAGGGCCGTGGCCAGGGCCAGGAATCTTTGGTTCACTTTATTCCTGACCTTTCGGGGGAAACTCAGGAGGTAATTGCGTCCGTCTTCGGAAAAGATCTCCAGGGCAATGGGTTGCAGGAGGTACCGCCGCTTGTGCACTTCTCGTATCTCCTCGTAGGCAAACTTAGAGCATTGTCGCAGTTTCTGGCTTACAGCACGCGATGTGGTGGAGGTGGTGCCGCCAGAATTGGGAATAATGGGCTCATAGGCCCCCGTAGGCAACGTGTCAATGTCGCGTATCTCTCGATTCTTGAGCAAAGTGAAACCGTCAACAATATAGCAGTGCTCCTTGCCAAACAGCAGCAGACCCTCGAAGGTGTCCAAACCCTGAATCCTGGCACAGCGAAACATAAAGCTAATCTTCTCCTGTTCTTCGAGTAGCCGCAGGAACGTTTCGTTGTCGCTGGTCATGGAAGTGTCCTCCTCCTCTTCATCATCCTCCGGGGCAGTGCCATCAATCGATTCTTGAGGGTAAGGAGCCGATCCATGGACTCCCATTAGCTTGGGAGAGACAGGAGGTGGCGGCGTTGAGGTGGAACTGCTGGCCTCCAGGCGATGCGGTGCAGCATGCACCGACTCCAGTGATGCCTGCTGCTGCATGGAGGTGTGCTCTGCCTCGGCTAGAATGCGTGGCTGCTGCTGTCCGTGCTGGAAATACGTTTTGCTGTCAAAGCTGGAGGCCACTTTGTATTTGAGCTGACGATTGTCGGCCAGTTCCAGCTCTGGGCGATAGGGATAGTGCAGATAGAAGACATCATTCCTCATGGTTTTCTTTCGCATGCGGTGGGGTCCTTCGGTGGTGTCCATTATCCATTTGTCGAGGGTACAGGTCCCGGCGGGACCCCACAGGCCACGCTCCCTCGTGAGCTCCGTCTCCGAGTGCACCCAATCCTGGTAGACATACCGTTGGGTGTGCTGCAGCATCTGCTGGTACTGCTTCGAGCGCAGGTCCAGCAGATCCTTGATCAACTGCACATGGATCCCTGTGGATTCGTAGGCTGCCTCGCGACTCATATTCGACTTTGTGCGCACTAGCTCGTCTTTTTTGACCTTTGTGCGGCTGGCGAGGCGCGTCAGACCACCGGTGACCTTCTGGATCTTTGACTGGATTTGATTGTGCAGCTCCCAGGGCACGCGATAGGAAGCCTTGCGTTCCGCTTCCACATAGTTGAACCACAGTTTGGAGGCCAGCTCCATGACCTGTTCGCGTGTGGTCTGCATGTCGGGGGCCTTCGAGTTGGCGGGAGGGGGCGTCAGGGAGATCTTGAAAACCTCTTCGATGGCGGGCTTCTTGCAGACGTACAGCTCCTCCCAGACACGAAAGGCGGCGCCCACAACGAGATTGCGACCTTGAAGTTGGTTCAGATCCTCATCTTTGGGTTCCACGGTCTCCGTTTGGGGATTCACATGCCATGTGGTGTTCCTGCTCGTCGATGGCTCCAGAATGATCTTCATATCCGCCGTCAGCTGCAGGAGGCAGTAGGTCAAGCAGCCAATGAACTCCAGTTCGTGATTTCCAGCACCAAAGATCAGGAGGCGGTGTTGGATGATCTTGTGCAGGGCCTCCAAGACGCTCATCTGATCCGCACGGGAATCATCGGTGGGACGGGAGAGAAGAAACAGAATACTCCGATTCAACGAGTGATGCAGGTGCTCTAGGGACAACGAAGAGGATCTGCGCTTCGCCTGGGCTATCAATTTGATGACGAAATCAAAGATATCATGAGGATTCCTCGCCAGACAGCCCTGCCACAGTTTATCCACAATCCGTGCCGTCAAATAGAAGACATTCGGCGCAATGTGCTGCATCTGGCTCTGGAGTATGGGCACCAGGGGCAGTGCCGCCTGCTCGCCCACGAGGACATCCGCTGCCAAAAGATGATCCATCAAGGCAATGATAATCAGCGTTTGGTATTGCACCTGCAGCGCCATATCTGCGGTGTCTGGGGCGGCATCAAGCACGAGATCTATCACGGGTGTGGCCTTTCCATGCATATTGAGACCCAACGAATCCACGACAATCACGCGAAGGAAATCAATGATGCATTTGCACACAGGATGGGATGTGATCTTTGGCTGAACAGCTGCTGCATGCAACGTTTCGGGCGGTGGCAGGACGAAACTGCTGCCAGTGCCATCTGTGGGCGTGGAGGCACCACTATTTGGCTCCGAATCCGCGGCTCGGGAGACTTGAGGGAAGAGCACTGCCACTAGGGATGTGACGACATCTCCTGCCATCATCACGGGCGTAAAATCACTGAGATTCTGGTACAGACTAAACAGCAGCTGGATGATGGTCTCCGGGTGGCTGTGCAGCCATGTGGCACACTCTCCGCCGTGGACTATTGCCCGGACCATGGCCAGGAGCACGCATACGCCTTCAGGGCACACACTGAGCTTTGGGAGCTGTGTGCTGGCAGCCACTGGGGCGCCCCAAAGGAACGACCACACGCGATCCAAGTCGAATTTTGTGTGTTCCGTGGCCAACACCTTTACAGGCTGTCCCATGATCAGAGCAGTGACCAGAAAATAGAGCTCTGGCACATCCAGATGATGCTGCATGAGCCATTCAAGCAATTGGAAACCTAAAATAATGAGATTTTTAATGAAGTTTCATAGACAAAAGAACTCTCTGGGCGCACCTGGTATATTCAAAGCCGCCGGACGGACTTCTCCTGCTATTTGGGTGGGCAAATGTTGAATGGTATTCTGTGGCGTGGCCACGATGACTGTGCCCGTGCCATTGCTGGGCCGTTGATTCAGCTGCTGGGCACCCAAACCCATCATTTTGCGCTGGGAAACCATTTCCGTGAAGCGCAGATAGCCCCCATTGTGGGTGGCATCGCGAAACCGCACGAGAAAGCTCTCATTTGCACAGACCACAACGAGTATGCGCACGGCTATGATCACAGTCGTGAAGTGGACATGCGGCTGCATGAACAGCAGCAACCAATCCATTCCCAGGGTCTTGGAGATGTCATCGCAGATCACATAGTTCACTGTGCTTCGGGGGGTAAACAACAGGCCATGGAGCAGCGAAAGACAGCGATTCCGGAGGTAAATATTCTGTGCCACACCGCCATCGGGATCTTCGCCCAAGTTCTTGATGCTGGGCAGGAGCACCGCCCGTTCGAGGGCGCCATCTTGAGCGCGTGGCAGCTTGGCGGCCACATACTGTCCGTAGAGCAGGAGATCCGTGTGTCGGGGCTGGCCTCCGAGGAGAGTTTCCAGGAGATTGAACAGGATCTCACGCGTCGAATGATCCTGAATGTGCGTGATGATGTGCAGGAGCTTCACCAGCAACTGGAGATCCCTCATGATCTTAACATTTTGCTTTTTTTCATTGGATTCTACCACTAGTTCCAGCAAGTGCTCCAGGAGAGAGCGCAGCAGGCCGTTGGGTGCATTATGCCAGATCTCCAGGTCGCACAGCAGATCCTGGAATGCCGTCACATTCGGAATGGCAGACATATCCTGGCCACTGTTGACGGTACCCACTAGGCCAAACGTTAGATGGAGAATGTGACTGTTTAGGAGATGTTTCTTCTTCTTGAAGAACATCCCCAAGGTCTGATAGCATCTCTTGCGATCCATTTCCGCTTGAGCGGCACGATTGCTGCGCACCACACAGGTCAGGGCCTTGACGCCCGCGTACAACGACTCCACATCCTGGGCCATGGCTATGATTCCGAGCAGGACATTGCATCCCCCCACAGTGTCAATCATGGCAGAGACAGGATGTGGACTGAAGACGCGCACGCCGAGGTAACCGACGACCACGCCGCCCAGAGAGCGACCAGCGCCAGCCAAATGTCCCGCAGAATTATGAAGGATCCTAATAGGAAGAGAACTGTAGCTCTGGGAAAGGATTATCCTGCGGTTTTCCACTTACTTGATGGGCGTGGCATTCTCATGAGAATTCATATTCAATTGCTTGGCAATGCTCTTATTATCCGCTCGACTGTAGACCTTGCGTATCTTCACGAGCGTCAGCTTGGACACGGCCTTGGCATTGAGTCCCAAGAGCACACGATCTTCGGGCACCAAAGGAGCCACTGCCTCGGACTGTTTGCCCAGCTGTGGAGCCTGCAGCGAGCCCATGTAGTGTGGTCCCAGCTGGTAGATAGTCTGCACTGTCTGTTGCGGCAGGACATCCTCCAGCAAGTGGCAGACGCCTTGCTTCCAGCACAGACGGGAATACCTTCGCCAAATGGGTGGGGTTCCTATGTAGCCAAAGATCTGCGTGGCAGATGTCAGATTCGCAGTGGTGGCCCCCGGATGTTGGGCAATGTAGTGGAGCTTTTGCGTGTGCATCGGGACGCCGTCGAGATACAGCGACAGACTGGAGTTCTTTAGCACCGCGCGGTTGAGCACCACAACGAGATTATGCCACTGGCCCTCGTGCAGGAGATCGGGGCACCAAATGCGTGCAATGCCATCATCAGATCCCTCTGGCTCCCAATCGCCAATGCCTAGAAAGGATCAGATTGTAGAAGGCATCCATGATGGTATGAAGGAAAACTTACTTTTTCTGGGTGTGACCAGTGTCTCTTGGGTGGACACCACAATGGCCTTGTCCCTGGCGGACAAAAGAATGGAAAGACAAGCCAGATTCTCCTCTCGAGGATTGTGGATGGTGCGCACTAAGGTGAGAAGCCTCACACAATGGGGATCCGTCTTGGGATCCGAGAACTTTTCCACACAAAACCACGTGGAATACGTGAGACCCGTTTGCGGTGGAAAAATGCGATCCCCAGCGCCAATCCCGCCAATGGTATTCGCGTCGATGGTGCCTCCAGCTGTGGCTGTCGCCTGGGGAGCCAGTGATGGCAGATAAAGGCAGCCAAAGCCCTCGGCAGACATGTCCAGCTCCACGAAGGGTGGCAGAGTGCTCGAGCCATGGGCACGGAAATCCCGCGGGGTCGTCATGGACACCAGTGTCTTTATGCGCGTGAGGGGCACGGGTCCCCCGAGGCGGTACGGCTGCTGGAGATCAATGTCCGCACAGGAGAGGGGTTCCCCAAGGCGCAGAAACTGTCGCAGTTCGGTGGGCTGCAGCGCCTGAGCGGCCAAACGTTCAAGAATGTACTGCATGGGCACGTGCAGAGGATGCTGCTCCTCAGCCAGGGCTCTCCTTGTGAGCTTCAACAGCTTCTCGGCCAAACCATTATCGCACATGATCTGCTGATTCCTTTCGTTCCTCACGAGGGATTTAATGATTTCACTCAAGTAGACTTGCAGCTGTACGGCCTCCAGAGGCGCCACCTCCAGCTGCACAGCGGGCAGGAGTTGTAGCATACACAAGACCACTCCGGGATGCACAATCCTGGGCTCTGGCATGGGCTGTGTGAGATTCAGTTGGCTGGGATGTACAGGCGGGGCCAGCTCCTTGCTGGGGGAACGCGAATGGGCCGGGGGGTCGCTGAACAACGTGATGATGCCACTCAAATTGGGTGCCTCAAAGTTATCCAAAGCAATGCTGTAGAGCAGGCGAAAGACAATGCACACATAGGACAAGGGATAGGGCACATCCTCAGAGAAACTGCAAGGGAAATATAGATTAGAATTGGCTCTCTTTAAGGCTGAGGTCTCCTTACCTAACACTCAGGATATCCCCACTGAATATCTCATGATAATACTTGATCAGCGTCTGCTGTGGCTCGTAGCTGCTGCCGCCATTGAAATCCTGCAGCGTGGAGGCGCCCCCGAAGCAGCCCAGCAGCCTTAAAGTGTCGCACAGCGAACTGCTGCTTATTTCCTGATGGAAGAACTTGGCATTCGCCGGCTCAAACCTCATGGCAGTGGCCAGCGTTTGGCAGACAATTTGCAGCAAGAGTATGAGATCCTGTTGGGGTATGCCCGGCTGGGGCTGCGCCATGCTCCCATCGAGGGAAACAAAAACGCTCGTGAGATACACAAAGCCACCCACTTTGCGGAAGACAGTCCGCGTGCGATGCGAATCCTTGAGGCAGCCCAGCAGCATGTTGAGTATCTGTATCTTGAACTCCACCTGATGCGGACTGATGCTGTGCATCAGCGAGAGGATATACAGCATATCATCGTCGCCTCCTGCGGAGAGTATCAGCTCACGAATGATCCCCAGCGCCTGCGGGCGGCAGTGCTTGAATTTCACCAACTCGTGAGTGCATTTGGCGCCGCCATATTCTCGAAAGATTTGAGCATTATTGCTGGCTCCGCCCCCCAGAAGCATGGTCAGGGCCTCCAGGACATGTTTGCCCAGAGTGTCCGACAGATCCTCTTCCTGATCCGCTGACAGCTCCACTACCAGCGACTCCTCGCCCTTGGTGATGTCCTGCACGTGTCCCGCATAGCGTGTGAGGCAGTTCACAAGGATTTCCAGTATCCCAACCTCCCGATAGACATCCTTGAAAACTGCATTGTGCCTTAGGATATTCAGGAGGGTTTTGAGACACAGAATACTGCAGGACGTCGACTGATTGTGCTTGAGGAGCAGCGAAAGGCTGATCAACTCCTTGCAGGGCACAAAATTCAACTGAAAGACAATGAATTCCAGCAAATCGAAGAACTTCTCCTGGATCTGCGGACTCTTTTGGTGTATCCGATCCGCAAAATTGCTCAAAGTGTGCTCCGGTTCCAGTATAAAGTAATTGGCATTCTCCGAATGATACACCCTCGATATGGCATCCAAAATGGTGCAGCAGAGAGCAGGTGTTGTGGATTTGAGAAAGACATTTTGAAGCACCTGAAAGGCATACACATTCCTCACGCACGTCTCACGGGAGGTGGATTGTGGCAGTTGGAAGTTCTGCAGCTTGAAGGCGGTATTGAATTGTGCTGCTGGGGGACGAAGCTCGTAAAAGCCGCACATGCACAGGGAAGAGATCATGAGTACCAGGTTTCGTATAGCTGCTTGGATTTCCAACGATTGACTGCGATTGTTGTCGAATCTGAAAGAGGAGGATTAAAGAGGAGTTACAGGAGATAAAGGTTAAAGGTTAAAGGTAAATCTTGTACTCACTTTAACAAAAAATCACTGAGAAAAACGTAGCCCTGCGAGGCCCGAAAATCATCCATTAGTATCTGTGATACTTGACTAGAGTCCTTGAGGAAACAGAAGACGGTGACAAACATTTCCACAATTTCCAAAGGATTGCCAAATGTCAAACGTTGCATATTATCCACACACAAGGCCATGCAACCTTTGGCTACAAGAAAGAGGAAACTGGTATTAAAGCTCCCTTATGAATGAGTATTATCTGTACATACAATGTATATAGCTAACAACCGCATCTGTTAGACCATGCCTCGATATGGTTGTCAGTATTTCGGCGGCGTTCTTACGCCACACAATATTGTGGCAGGGGCAGGGCGATGTGATGGCCGAAAACAGCAGCGTTAGATCATCCATTCTTGCTAGTTCTTCGGCGGGATAGGGATACGAACAGAGTTTCACCAGCAGCTGCACAAAGACCTTCTGCAGTAGGGTGCGTCTTTCGTGGGCATTGAAATCACTGATGGCCGAACCATCTTCTGCGGGCTCATCGTCCTCCACAATGGGTAGATCGAAGAAGAGGTACAGGCACTTGACCAGCGTTGAGGGTACCGAAGCGGCTGTCATCACCTGCAAGAAGATGGAGAAGGGAATATATGAAAGGTTCGATATGGGGAAAAAATAGAGTTTTGACTTGAGATACTCTTCCATCTACAGCAATGAATGAAACCGTCGTTACATCATGTTTCCACACTCACTTAAGAACAGAAATCGACTAAGAAACGCTTACACTCTTCTTCTCTTCGTTAAATTTTCTGGAATGGCTCACAGTATCTTTGTTTTCATTAAATTTCATTGAATTCCCATTAGAGTCGTGCACTACAAACTTTAAACATAGTTTTCCTATCAAAATCTCTCCAAAATGAATCAAGTTTGGGTGTTCTTTAAGCTGATAGAAGTATTTTTAGGCAGCATCTGCATGGGCTTTCATGTTGAGGGCTCTATGTACTGGCCCGAGCCCATACCCCACATCATTCTTTACTGCGCGACCTTTGGCTCCTACACTCTCCTGGCCGCCTTGGGTGCCTTCCGACTGCTGCTGAAAAAGAGCTCGATACTGTCATCAGAGCTACTGCTCGCCGCCAGTGCCATGGGCTTGCACTATTCCTGTGGCCTGCTGGTCATGAGGAGTGCCAGGCAGGATAAGCATTTGTCGGCCATGAATTCCACGTGGCAGTATCTGGAGCATCCGCATTTTGCGCGCTGCAAGAGACAGAGCATTGGGGCGTTGATTACGGGCACTATGTATCTGATGCACATGTTCCTGCTGCTCGATCTGCTGATGCGCATGGAGCCCGGGGCATGGCGGCGTCAAGCCACAGGAGAACTGCGTGAAGGCTTCCCAGATGTGCTGGCAGAACGTTCCACCGATCTGTTTGTGCTCTCGAAGCCAGTCGATGATTTTCTGTGTCGCCGCTGCAAGTTCTATGATCGTCTGGCGCATTCCCAGCCACTGCGTTTCAAGGATACAGGCGTCGATGAAGAAGGACCCACATTTATGGAGAAGGTTTTTAATCTGTTGATTGGCATACGGAATGTCCTTTTCCGCGTGCATGCCGTCGAGAGCGAAGAGAGTTTCTTGGAGACGCCCACAATCACCACAAGTGAGGAGTCGATGGATCTCTACGAGTCTTCAGTTTCCATGGAAGATGGAGAGGGACGCACACGCCACAGGGACTCCTGGACATGGCGTGGCTCAAGCGATTCCTCTAGCCTTTGGGCAAAGATCGAGGACTGGAGTACTCCAAATGAACCGATCAAAACGACGGATGAATCTACGCTGAAGGATGTTGACAGTCAGGAAACCATGGTGGGGGATATAAGAAGCACAAGTGATCCACTATCGAGCGAAAGATCAGCTGTAGATTCAGATTTAGAGGAGTCAACTTTAAAGGAAGATAGTCCTGTGACAAGCGAAGGAACTCAAGAGATTGATGGCTTAAAGGATGAAGAAATGGCACCATTGAAGGATAAGCCAGAAGGAAAAAAAGTCCTTTGAAGCGAGGGATACATTCAAGAAAAAATCCCCACCGGTAGGATTAAAGAAGAAAAAGAAAGTAAAGCAGAAAAAGAAGGAAGAAACCCCCACGAAGAGTGTTTCAGAGCCTGTAACTATCCAGTCAGAGCAAACTAAAGAAGATAATTTACAAGAAGAACAGGAGATTTCTCCTGAGGAACCAACAGACGACTCCTCTAAGGATCGCAAGAAACTAACTTTTCACGAAGAAACCAAGGAAGAGTAAAGTCAAAGACAGAATCACAGGGAGGCTGGAGATTTCAGCATTCAAAATGCAATTAAATTTAAATTATATATAAATTAGTTCTCTTTAGCTGAATTATAAAGAGATATATCCTTAACAATACCCAATTTATGGATGTTTGGATATGGGTCTATATATCTTTATATATCTTCCCATCTATCTATCAATATCTTCTATCTATTCGATGCTGTATTATTGCTTCTCTCTTCCAATCGATATCTATTCTATTTCCTCTACTAGAAACTGCTTCCTTTTCCTCTACCTGTATCAAAGAGACATCTCCATTGGCCAACAGATTCAGGGTGGCCAACAGCATCCATCCGCTGCTTGTCTCCTCCGTTGTCTCCACCTCCAGAAACTTGACAATGGCTATGGAGGCAGCCTCGGTGCTCTGGTTGGATGCCCGCTTGCGTATCTCGCTGACCATGAGACGTGACACCTGCTGGCAGAAGGCCACCACATCCCAAAACTTTTCGCTCATTTCATTCGCCGGACAGCTGCTGAACACCTGTAACAAAAAGTATCGTCTTTAAAAAGGTTCTTCTTTCTCTAAAAATACCAGAAACTAACCTTGCAGAATAGTGGCAGCATTTGGTAGAGCTTCTCATCGCGTTCCTGTTCGCTAAGCGGCTCTCGGGGATGGGTGTACTCATTGAAGAGTTTCTTGAGGGTTCCCAGACTCATTTGGATGCGGGCATCCACCAGGGCTTCCTCGCCAGCAGCCCGTCCATTGGCTGGGGTTTGGCTCGAGTCAGCGGGGGGTCTGCTGCCATTACTTGTGGAGTTGCTGCCGCTGCTGCTGTTGCCTCCAGTGGCAGCGCCGCGCAGCTTTCGCATTACATTCATCTTTGGGTATTTCTATTGCCAAATGTATTTAAACTGTGAACAGATATGAGAAAGAGTGATAATTAATCAGTAAAGAACTTCAACAAAGAGATGTGTATATATACGAGTATAGTATCCGCCAGATGTGAATCTTAAGTGTGAATTTCGGAGGTATATTTAACAATTTTGCACTGCCTCAAGGCGAAAACACTCTGGTATACCTCTGCAGTATCTATCGACTATCTATAGCTCTCTGAGGAGCTCGAACATATCAGCTGCATCAGGAGGTTAAATATAGATACAACATACCAACTCAATCCTGGCCAGACGTCTATAAGAGTTCAATGAGTAGAGGTCTATTTGTTTAATACAGTGATAACTTTATCAATGTTACTTTATTCTAAATATTTACCTATGGCTATTGTTATATTACCAAGATAGCAGCCACACACGCACAATTGTTCTCAATAAATAAGAGTTTTCAAACTAAACGATTGCACTCAAACCTTAAATATGATATCATCGCACCTCTAGATAGAAATTTATTTCTCATAACAGTTGTAGAATACTAAATTATCAAGAAATCTCAGAGTTATAAGAATATCAATACAATATCACTTATACTAGGAGACTGACGTTACACAATGCCGAAGCTTGGTACGTGCGTACACCAGGCAGAAACCGACAGAGGGGCGTTGCTGCATGACACGAGACACGTATTATTTAAGATTTTAATAGCCTTTACTAAAGTGTATAGCTTTTTGGGATTGCAATTGCAAAGATTTCTTTTCTAGTAAGAGTTTTATATAGATATTTCAGGGAACTCAGAGTTTAATCTCCATTTCAAAATCTAATAAATACTGGTATTCCATAATCCTCAAGCACCTGTAACTATCTCCCATGTATCCCACAGCTGTAAATATCAACCGATAACTGGCAAAACCCACTGCCTCCTATGGTTTTTTTTTTGTTTATTTTCCATATTGTCACACTTCATGCACAATATGTTTATAAATACAGCATATGTTCTTCGAACACACACACAGATACCACCATACTCCCCCCAACACACACAGTCCCCAATTAGATGGGGGTTTTGTATGCCCCAACACTTCACTTCATTATTGTATATGTAATCGCAGTAGGAATTGCTTTCAAGTGGTTTAGAAATCACATCATCGGGACGGCACAATGGAATTAACTTTATTATTTGCTGGGGTGCGATTCTATTGATATGTATTTTGAGTTTCTTTTCGCTTTTCGTTTCGTTTGCGCCGCACACACACCACCCCACCCTTCGTTTCAATTAGCGGCGGACCCGCGGAGCCGCATTCGCAGGTGAATCATGCACTGCATTCCGTTAAAATTGTATCATTGTGTATGTATTTGGAAGATAGACTTTTTAGCATTTTATGTACCCTTTTTTAAGGAGGTAATCGGATTTTTATGAGCACAGAAGAAACGCAGATTGAATTATTTACAATTTCGATCAGTTCTTTGTTTGATGCTAGTAAATTACACATTTTATCAGGCAATGGTTTAAGTCAGATATTTATGCATTTCTCCATCGTTGAGTGAAATTACTGTATTATAAAGCAGGGGCCGGCAGTGCATATGAGAGTTTTCTGCTGTTGCACTGCCGCTCACGTACAGTGGTTGGAACCAATGCATTGTTCCGTTTTTCCTGCTGTCTTCTGCACACAAACGCACTATAAGCATGTGAGAATATGCACGCCGATCCCTGTTATATATATACAATCAATGTCTCTGAAAGGGTATCAATAGGTTCGGTTTTGTTATCTTTTACGAAAATTTTTCATTCGTACTCGTACGTTCTCATGTTCCGTAAATGTGAATGAACGTGGCGACCCCTGCCGCTGCAGAGGCGTATGGGAAAGGCGTAAAAACCGGAAATATTGGGAGTGTGGGGGCGACGACTACGACGACAATGCCAGACGTTACGACCGCGTACTTATTGACTTTGACTGCACATGTAGATACACAAACAACATATATAAATTTGCATATATATTTATAGAGAGAGTGAAGAAAACGCTCAGCCCCCTCCCACCAACGCACACAACTGTTTTATGTACTTATTGCGCACTTGTTTGTTTACTCGCAATATTCCACTCCACTTTACATTTTATCGTATCGTCTCGTATCTCTTTTCATCCTCTCACTCACTCCATTTTTCACCGTTTTTGCCATCACATTTGGGCCACCTAACGGGGCAGCTTTTAGGTTCTGTCCCCCATTACACGCACATTCGTTAACCGCTCATTTGTTTTGCTCGTCTCAATCGCGCTGCTACGACAATTTTTATTGATTTTTCTTCCTCTCTCACGCAGCAACTATCTCTCTTTCGACCTCTCTGACTCTTTCTGACCAACGGAGCACTGGCGCTGCTGATTCGGCAGATCACTTACAAATTTTCAAACGTACTTTTCGCACTTTTCTGTTTATTTTTTCACTTACTTTTATTGCACATTTTCTCATTGTTCTGTGCCCTGTTTTCCTTAATTTTGCAATTGATTTTTGTACATTTTGCTAGTGTTGTTAGTGTTGTGCAGAGTGACCGCCGCGCATTGAGTGATAAAATATATCGTCAGACCCTCAGAAATATATCAAAATATACTGTTCCATTTGAAAAATATACCGAAAAAAACGTACTTAACCCACTTCAGCCCCCTCTATTTAAACAGTTTAAACAACTTGAGGTAAATGGCGGAAAATATGCCTGATTGTAAATTCTTCTTGTAGATCCATGCCATCTTTTCTCTGAACTTAAAAAAGCTACGATATTGCTTGTTGCTGATCAACATTTGCATGTTCTCAGTTGCATTTTCTCACCACATGAGTCTGGCCCATACAAAATGAATGTTGCCGCAATGAAATGAGACTTATTGTTTACACCGATTAATACTCGATTCAAAGAGAGCGAAAAAGAGAGCCTTAACCGATTTGAAGCGAGCTGTTCGACCAGCCATCACCGCCCCCTCGGTGATTTCCACAATTTATGTCTTTCTGTAGTCATATGTATTTGTTCTTCTTAGTTTTTGTCGTTTTGAACTTTAACAGTGTTGGATAAGTCTTAACCGTTCCAAGTAATATAGCAGGCAGTATTCGACAGTCTGCATTTTGGCGCATTATTTAAAAACAATTTTAATTAAGAGCCCAATGTAATTTTAGTGCTAAAAGATATCAGAAAAAATCATATGAAACTGGGGAAATTCAAGAAAAGTCCTGCGAAACCAATAAAATTTCGTTATTATCTCTCAAGCTTAAATTAATTAGTTTTCTGGAAATATTCTGTCTATTTCCAAACTGAATGTTTTAATCTCCATTAATTTCTATCATACGCTGTTATCTTAAGCTGCATTGCAGATTTCTTGAATGGTAGCAACAGACAGTGAATCCACACCCTTCATTTCCACTTCCACCTTCAGATATTCAAGGCTTTGCTTGCCATTGTCTACATCCGACTTTGCCGGACATTCTGTAGCACTATAATTAAACACATTTACATATAGCCATGTAATCTGCCTAATTGAGAAACAAGGTTCAATTGGAATGTGAATTTCACACCGATTCGGGTGTATTTATAATTGTTTAATCAGAATTAATTGGTACCAAAGGGATTAAATGGTAAATTTCCGTCTTTAAGAAAGAGAGTTGTGTGAAATAAATATATTTCTAACACTTTGTTCCTTCGTTAGTAATTTAAATGTTTTTAAACATGAGAATAAATATAGAAGCAGCATTCAAGTATCCAGGTCTACTAACTTAGTCCTTAAATACATCCTTACATGTGCAAAAGATTATGATGATGTATTTTTGGTTATAAAACATCCTTTTATGCCAATAAAATAATCGAAAAATAATCTTTTTACACAGCGCTAAATCCTACAACCACAAGGAAATACCTTTGCTCTTTTCTATTTAGAAGCATTCTATTTGATCAATTCATGAACCTTAAGCCGCACTTTAAGCCCACAAACAAATTGCTCATTTCAGTAAAACCATAAAACCCGATATGGCATGGCATCCACAAGTGACATTCAAACTATTAAGCAGACAATTCCTTTGGCCAATGATTATGGGCACTTTTGTGGCTCTTTTCCTTCACTCTCTCTTGCAGGCTTTTCTTTAGAGCAATTCAATCTTATTGAATTTCTGACTGCTTGTGCAGCCCACGACAGGCTATTGATCCCCCAGAAATCCCCGCATATACTCGTACGTACATATGTATATAAGTATCTTAGAGTTGAACAAATTGAATGTGATTATTGAATTCACACATTTAGGGGGTTATTAATATTTGAATTTGCATTTACATTTGCATACGGGGGACTCGTTCTAATTGTTGGCCCCAATAACCGAAATCGGACTATTACTTACTTAAATCCACAGAAGTTGATTTGCATAGCGATTGGGAGTACATTTCCCGCTTTTCTTTGTCCAAATTTGATCCATTTTCAGATTAAATTACATTTTTTGAATCAATTAAGGATAGTACGTGTCTGAAGGCGTGTCAAAATAAATATTTATGCCCGTGCAGTCCGGCCAACGGGGGAGGATTTTCCGAGTTCCTTGTGTGTCCTGTCTGTCTGGCGGCCCCCCCTAAAAATAGTTTGCTCTTTGGGCGTTGGCCCCCGGGCTTGCCCCCTCTTAAACCTTCGACCCCATTCGGGTGGTCGGTCATTGCGTGTGCAGTACAGTCACGCCTTTGGCCCCCAATATTCATCCCCTGCCATCCATCCCCCAGTCCACTTAAAGGTGTGTGGATGACTGCCTAAGTTGCAAGAGCAAGTTCTCTTAATGCTTCTTTATGTGGCAATGCTTTTGGGGCTTGGCATGCGCCCCTGCCCCTCTCGTACCACTCGTGCTTTTCTGTCTGCCACACCTGTGGTGGGGTGGGGGGCGTCGTGTCTGCGGCAATATTCTAATGGATTTTTCGTTTCCAGCTATAAATAGGCGCCCGCCCGAACAACTGGCAAACAATTGAAACCATATTTTAGTCGCCTAAGAAGGGGGTATTTTCGGCTGTGGCATTGCGTTAAACCGACGGGTCCTAGGGGGCACATACGAGAAGGATGCGCCCCTCAAAGAAGGGGTAGCTACAAAGGCGGCAGAATGCGAAGGAAAGTCATTACCCTTCCACTCGAAATGTAATGAATATTCTTTTATTTTCTCTTGCCTTCCTCTTGATGTTTTCGCCTGTTTTGGCCACCCATTTTCCCACCTTATCTTGGCATTATCTTTCTTTTTTTTGGGGGAAAAGTGTAAGAGCGTCAGCCCAAAAATCATTTGCACACAGCGACATTCCATGTGGGACTCATTAGAACAGGGGTCTGGGGATGTCCCCCTTTTATTTTTTGCAGAATTTTTGTTGCCTTTTCCTCAGAATTCGGGTCTTCTTTCCCTGAAATTTAGTCTCTTTTTTGCCTCTCTTGGCTGTTGTTGACAATGAGCGAAACATTTTGCGTATTGAAATTGACAAAGTCTTAAGGATGGAAGAATAGGGATATACGCAGCCCTACGTCCTCCCTAAATTCCCCCCTTTATTGCATGAATATTCATGGAGGGGACCTTAAAGAAGGAGAGAGAGGAGAGGCCGATGGCAGACACTTTATCCTTCGTTTTGGGTGTCGCTTCCTTCCACGGGGGAGCGGCTTCTGTTGGATTAACATAAAATTTCATTTGATTGTGTTTTGGTGAAGATTTTTATGGGTTATAAAGGATTTTATATATGGCAACTAACTTGGGTTTTGTTTTCTTGGGTATCTGGGTATCTGGGTATCTGCTGGATAAAAGATGTCTACAAAAATCTCTACGGGCCATCGGATTGATGGCAATGGTCTCCATTATGGACAAGGGCGGGATTTGAGAGGCGTTTATGTGTGCATGGAACACAGGAATTCGAGGTAAATAAATTGGTTGACTTTTGAGAGTGTTTTTAAGGGGAGGATTATACGGAATGTTGTTTCGAAATATCTAGAAATATGTGGAATATCTTCAAATGTAAAAAATTAACTAATAAGGGAGAAAAATAATGTATTAGATGGGTTCTGTGAGTAGTAATATAGAAGAAATATATAACATATAGGTAAAAATATAATTTGCAAGAAATATGTGGAATAATATGTGTAAATTTTGAGATCTGTAGAATATGTTATAGTAAAATCTTCAAAACTGCTGAAAATATACATCTTTCAAAGGTTCTTCAGATAAAAAAGACTGTTTTCCAAATTTAAAACAATATTCTTTTCATTTAAATTCATTTTCAGTTAAAAGGCGATGAAATTTCCAAAAGCAATTAAAGATTATTCTGCAAAAATGTAATCCTAATTGGTTAAAATTCTTTTAAAGGTAAGTTTGCAATCATATGACATACACTTTATCATGTACTTGCCGCCGCATAAACACTGCCAAAAAAACTCCCTGAATACCGTCAACTTTTACCCTTGAAGCGTTTCAGCCATAAAAAATGTAAATTTAAAGAACTTAAGGTCTTTAAGATAATGAAAACAGGCGGCAAAAAGGTGTGTATTTGAAAAACCATCACAGAGAATTACTTACAAATCCCTCAAACAAGTCAAAATTGCAGCCAAAAAGTATCTGCAAAAATTATTCAATAGATTTAGCTTTGTGCTATTGTATGTGCTTTTTATGGACCTTAAGGATATACGGTTCCCATCCATAAAAACCATCGAAGCAAATCCCTGACAGAACAACATGAAATTCCGATTATTTTGATGGGGGATGTGAGATTTACGATGCAATTTGATGATGGCAATGCGATGATGGAGCAATATGAAAGATTGATGAGCTTTCTTCAAGGTCGTTCCACTTTTTTCTCACTGCTGGCTTTCTGTTGACGGACCGATTCGGTGTTTGCCTGTAAACATTTTAAGCAAATATCCAGAGATTCGTTGATTAAACAGCGAAAGATAAAGAACGGCCAAGGCAGGGAGGCTATAAAATGTGAAATTCTGTTGGGGTTTAAGCACAGTTCTCACTGGAATTGATTTGATAATGTATCGGCTACTCTTTTACCTGCTCAGTGGCTGTCTGCTGCTGCTTTTTGTGGCAGGGGAATCATCATTGGAGGAGCAGTCGTCAGAGGAGATTGTAATGGATACGACAGCCATTTATTTGGAGGATTTTCCGGCTGTTTCGGCGGAGCTGATGGAGCTGGGAGAACCCTCGGTGGATGAGCAGAATGTGATGACAGCACAGAAGATCAATTGGATGCCCGTGTGGCAGGAGCAGGATCAGGATAATCCAAGGGTAGCTCGTCAAGTGATGGAAGAATCGAGCACTGAGAGGCAGGTTCTTCCGACTTCCAGCACAGAAAAGGCCTCCTATACCGCCAAAAACGAAGTCTCCTCCACAGAGGCGATCTCCACGGTGATGGAAACCACTACCAAGAACAGCCTGGAGGAGCTTTTGAGCACTCGGGATAACAAAGAGTGTCCCAGCACTGCCCAACGTGGACTCACAAATCTCATACGCGTGGCACGACCCATGTTGCCTGCCGCAGAGCTCCGCAACATCTTCGCCAATGCCGTAGAGGATCCTCAGGTGAGGGATCTCCTGACGCTGCTGAAGAGCAATCCCTTCAAGGAACAGGTGGCACTTTTGCGGTCCACCAAGCAGCATCAGATGCTGCAGGACTATATCTGTCGTCGCCTGAAGCTGGACCCCGCCTACTACTTCGATTATGTGAGGATTTTCCTCAACATTCACACCACAGAGGCACCCACCAGCCCTCTGCCCAATCGTCGCAAAGGAATACGTGGCCTGCTGCAGGATGTCCGGGATGTCCTGCCTCGTACCGCACTGAGGGATCTCTACTTGCGGATGTACGCCTCGGATGCGGAGCTCTCCAATGCTGTGCGTCTCGTCCGCAGCTTGGAGTTCCGTCGATTGCTGCAGGATGTCCGCTCCTTGAAGGAGTATCGCGGCTTGACTGGGGATCTGGAGAAGGCGGGTGTGCCCCTGCGTCAGATCCAACAATTGGTGGCAAGTGCATTGGGTTGGGCCACCTTGGATGCCACTTTGGGGGCAGAGACAGTCATTTTTGCTGACTAAACGCAAGGAGGTTTTTTCCTTTACTTTTTTCTATCTTTATCTATTGAAATTTGTATATTTTTACTCTCTCAATTTGTATCTTTATCCTTCAACTATGTTTTTCTATTTTTCTATAAATTATATGAAAATCTTTAACAAAAAGTAAAAAAATCTGGAAAATCTTCTCTATAATCGTTTTGGTTTTATTTCCCTTTTTTTTGTTGGGAGAATGTTCTCTGGAAACAATAGTAGCTTTAATCTCTTAAGATTTTATCTTAAGAGATAATCTTTTTATTTTTTTTCTTCCCATTTTTCAATCCATAAATCGAGAAAATATTCTCTTGAAAAATTAAGATCTAAAATATTTCACATTAACATATCCTTACGCCTTATAAACCCTATATTTTTAAACACTTCTTCTTAAGATCTTTAATCGAGAAACTCAATGATTATCTGCTTTCAGTAGGAAAATCTCTTCCTGTTTCCTATTTCCCGGCTTCCTCTGCTATAATTCCCCTGTCCACGAGGCTCCAGCCCGTTTAGCGGCTCCACTTCAAAGGCGTTGTAAGGCAACACCTTTTGTTTTCCCTTTCATTTAGATCGTATGTTTAATCGATTTTATATATAGATTTGTCTTTAACGTTTCTTTATCGCGATGTGTGGGATGGCGGCGTGGCTCATCCATCAATCCAGCAAACTCTCATCAGTCATCTGTCAACCAATTTCACTTCTGTGGCTCCAGGGCTCTCAGAAAATACAAAAAAAAAGGGGAAGCGCGACATCTATGACGTGGGGCAGGCACCACATCATTCTCTAGAGGGAGAGAGACGTCCCCCAACAACTGGGCAACGAATTTATAACTCATTCGTTGTGGCACGGCATGGACTCTGGGATGGACATGTTTACAACTTTTACAGCGGGGCATGCAGCCAGGCAACCGAAACCACTTGAAAATTCGTTCAGGGTCAAAATCATTAGGGCAGGCAGCAGCCAGCAGACAGCAGCAGCCAGTAGTTCTTCTACTGTTTGTCGCCGCTTCTACCACAGCCACAGCCGCATGCCACGCAGAGGCCGTGGCATAATAAACAACAAATACAAATGAGAATTGCTGCCGCTGCCGCTGCTGCTGCCACACATGTTGCTTGCGTTGCGCCTTCAAAAGAGACTTCATCGAGGCTGTCAGCGCCGACATCTAATCGAGGCAACAGTTGCCATAAACAAATTACAAACAGATCGAATCGAGCAGACAGTAGCCGACAATCCGGCAATCCGACAAATGTCGGTTGTGGGACGGCTATAAATAATACCCCAAAAAGGGCACCAAAACCCCAAGCAACGTTCACGGAAATACTCGTATTTACTTCAGAGTCAGAGTCAGAGTCAGCGTTAAGTCTTTGGTCTCTGAAATACGTGTCAAAATAAACAAACATTTGGAAAAACAGCAACAGAAACGGCAATTTCCAGTGGCAATCGCAGACAGACGATGGGTCACAGTTCAAACGATAAGATAGCCACGATCCAGACTTTGATTCGGATCCGGTTGGGAAATATACTATCTAGATTATATTTGCAATGGGTGCTATCGCTGGTATCTATGTGGAAATCTTCCAGATGTGGCCACAATGCATTGAGTACTGGGTCATTTTTGTTGCTGAAGAGTTTTATGAAATGTTGAGGGAATATTTTAACATGTGTGCATATAGAGGGAGGGATATATTTTGAATAATAACAAGTATGAAGTTCCTTTGGAAATTTCTTGAAATCCATTCTGTGATCTTGTCATTGAGTGAAACTCTGAAGAAGCTTTGTTGCTGCGTATCTTCATTTCGAGATACATTTCATTGGAAATGTTGGAAATTTATGTTTATTCCGTAGATGATCTTTTTATTAAAGGAATACCTTCTTATGCTTTACTTTTGGTAATACATTTTAAAGATTAAAGAAACCAAAGGAACCTTCTTTGTTCCGAAAACTACGGCCTATCCTCGTTTTGTATTCCAAAAATTAGCAACATTTCAAGCGGCGGGCCCACAAAAAACCAAAACACAACAACTGAGAGCTTGGCAAGAACTAACTTCCAAAGAAAGAAAACTGAAACTCGGTTCTACTCGTAGAGAAAGATAATCTTTGGTTTGGGTTTTTGGTCTAGACCTCTTCTACCTTTGAGGCCTCTTCTGTTAAATAGAGACATGAATATACGTAAAGAAAAAGCTTTGCTTTTTGTTTGAAACCGGCGGAAATTATTATTAATTGCTTGGAATGCCGGGCACACACCGCCTCCCGCTCCTCCCCAGAGCATGCCCCCGACCGCTCCAGAGGCAGGTCCATGGACTGTGTGGCAGGCCGCTTCTAATGGCTTCCGTTGGCGTGGCTCAGTTTTTCTCTCAGATTTTTGTTTTCATCCAATCATTTCGATGACGTAAAAAGCCGTTTTTCATGGCCAAAACCTGGGCTACAGAGAGTTCTTGGCCTCAAAAAAATCAGCTAAGTGTCGGGCCAAGCATTCGTGTGTGTGTGGGGGGCAAATGCGTTGGCTGTTGGGGCTATGGGGCTATGGCTGTGGATTATTTGGAGTACATGTACTCCTCGTACTCTGCCAACTGGGCGGTTCATTGGCCTTGGCTGATAGATAGACGACGACGACGGCGTGGGTAAACAGTTTGACTTTTCAGAGCACAGTGGAATTGCTGGGGAGCTGTTGGGGAGGAACAGTGGAGTTGCTGTTGTGGAGCCTCTCGTGGATCTGTAGACCACTGCTGGAGGAGGAGTGTGCCCAAGCGTGTCCAGATGGCCGTCTCCTTTTACAATTGCACTGCTCCAGCACTTCCCCAGAGGAGCGTCAATGCCTGCCCTGCCTCTGGTGCTGCGCCGAAGAGTGTCTGCCCCAAGAGTGGGGTTCAGCAGGCGGAAACACAAAGCGTTCGTCCGTTGTTTCGTTCGGGTTGAAAGTGGAGTTGGAGCTGGAGCTGGAGTTGGGACTCGTTCTCAAGCTGTGGGTGTCGTCGTCTGGAAGCTCTTTCTGGACTATTGTGTTCCCGATTCCAAGGGGGAAACAACAGCGATAGCACACTGCAGCAAACAGAGCTGCCACAGAGGTGCCACAGAGGGGCAAACGTAGGTGCAACAGCAGAGCAATAAAGGTGAACGACTCTCCCATTTGGTTAATTGAGTTTGAATGGCGGAACGAAAAAGTTGCAACAAGGGCGAAAAAATGAAAAAAAAACGTTGCCATTGCAGTGATTTTCTTTTTTCTTTTGAGGAAAAAAGAAGCAAGGGTTTTTCTATGGCAACGTGGAGTCGTGGGGGAATGGGCGAGTGTCTTGGCAACAATTGAACTTTGAAGTGTGTCAATCTTATTGGGTTGTAGGCAAAGACTGAAAGAAGTCTTGCCACATGCCCCCCCCCAGCGAGAGTCAAGGGAGGTACTAGTGGAATTCCTATGAGAGTCGAAGAATTTCAATTGGAAATGGTAGCAGAAATCAAGGAAAATTCAGGGGACATTCTACAAGGGCCATTCAACTTAAATAAAAATCGAAGAAAATTTATTTACGAAGAAAATCTGAATCTAAAAGCCTCTTTCTGTACAAAAACCAAAATTAAACCATCATCGAAAGTCTACTGCAATTCTTATAAATAATTCTTATGAATTCTCTTATACCTCTTTCCCCAGACTTCATTACTCATCTCATCGTTTCGGAGACCCAATTTTTCTTGAATTTTATTCGAGAGTCAAGTTTTCTTTCATTCTATTTGAAGGCATCCAAGTTTTCTTGTAAATACCCAGCAGCTTTTGTTGCATCCAAAACATTCCTGGGGTCAGACCCTTTGGGGCCCTATAATTATTTAATATACGATGTGTGCTTATAGTACTCTTCGCGGTTACCCCTATATTAACTACTTAGGACTGCGACTGGGGCGTTACGCCTATCCACTCCACTCCACTCCACTTTAGGAGAATTCACGCCTAATGAAGCACCACAGCACAGTCGATGCGATGCTCATTGAACTAAGGCGAAACCGAAACCAAAACTCAAACGAAACGAAACCACAAATCAAATTAAAATTCCGTAGCTTTTTTTTGGGGAGTCATTAATCTCTTGGCGTGGGGGAACAGAACCGATAGAACCGATAGAACCGATAGAACCGCTAGAAGAACTGAAACTGCAATTGCCACATGCAGCATGCAGCATGCGTTGATCTTCCAACAATCGCCATGGCAGCAGCCGCCTGAAAACAAACAAAACAAAAGCAAAACCTCTTTTTGGACGCGGCTTTTGGGGTCCACGCATGACTTGGCGTTTGCTGGAGCGCTTAACCCAAATCCAAAAACCAAAAGATGAGGAGGGATCACCATAGAGAGACCGTGGAATACCCTTACCTAAAGCTTAGACTAACGAAATGCTGGATTTGATGGATTTTTAGGATCATTCCAGTCGATAGAAGAAAAGAATAGTTCGATTACGAAAATAAATTTAAATATTATAAATAATAATAATCATTTTAATTATTCAAAATAATGCAGAAAAATCCTCAAATATGATTCTTATCAGAAGATCTGATATTTTATTTCTCAAAATCGATAGAGACTTGTAGGTAGTTCCCTATCGTTGAAGATGGCCGAGATAGAATCAAGTTTCCGAACAATGTTTGATGCATTTTACAACCCTAAACAATAGATTTTAAAATATAAACCAAATTTGATTGATTAAAGCAAAAATGAAGGGATCCAGAATCATCTCAACTCCTTTTGGTAGTCTCAAATGCGCTAGTTAGCTATCGTACCCCACGGATATACCCTATCTATAAGACCGAACAACCGAACAACATTGATGACAACAATAACCAGAATTGAAAGTGCATATTGCGCTGCCGCCGAGCCGCTGGTTCGCCTGCTCGTTCGCTCGTTCGCTCGACTTGCTTTAATCAGCGCTTTTTGATCCGAACAAAACAATTGCCGGCCGGCACACAATAACCACGACGGCGCCCTCGCCCATCCACATCCACATCCACAACCAGATCGA